CTGAATGATGCGTTGACTTCCCCCCCCCCCACACACACACACACTCACCTGAGCAGATCCCCTGGCCATGCTAAGTGCACACCTCGCCAACGTGGCCTCCTTCAAAGCGAAAAAAAAAAAAAAAAAAAAAATATTAATAAAAAAAATCAACTCGTACAATATAAAGATACGTGATGAAATAAATAAAACGTTTAGCCAAAGGAAGTTAGCGGATGTATATTCATTCGCAAACAGGAGTGGAGACAAGGACCGGTCAGAAGAGTGTGTCCAGTTGCTACAGTTGATAAAACAAGTGTTCGATGTAAAAAATGTGTACCTTGGTAGGACATACCTAACAGGACAAGAGAAAAAGAAGAGAAAAAAAATTATTCAATTCATTCAGTCCACTCCAAATTGTGATTTAGAAAATGAAACGATTTGTCAGCAGCAACAAGTGAATAACATCTTTAATAAATGTGGGGGACAAATTAATAACGTGAACTACTATTCCGTTTACTCAAAACTTTTTCCATTTGAAACAGGTTTCCTCTTCCCACATTTTGTGCGCCCCGACTTTTGCTATGACGATCCTGGCGACGACCTCTTCACGTGGGTCAACCCACTTCACCAGGGGGGCAACTCCGCGCGCAGGGTGAAGAGCGACATGGGGCCCTCCGCGGCGAAAAAACAGCAGGCAAAAGAAGAAGAGGCGGAAGAAGGTGATGAGGAGGATGGTGATGATGGTGACGATGACGACGCAGAAGAAGACGAAGAAGAGCAGGAGGAGGCGCAGGAACACCCCCTCAGCGACCAACACAAGGCGAATGGCCACGACTCCACCGCTCACCCAAGTGAAGAAAAAGAAACAGCATCGAACAACCAAGAGGAACAACTTCAAATGGAACTACTCAACACCCTACATATGAACCTGTCCTACGACTGCTTTTACATTTATGAAGTGATGAGAAAAAATAATTCCTTCCTTTATGCCAAGAGCAAACCAGGAGACTTCCTTTTAATCCCACTTGTGTATTACTCCTACTACGATTGGCACTTCCTGCATGACCTGTACTGCCTCCGTGAGAGGGCCTTCATCCAGTCGACTTCCCCCTGTGAGCATGTAGCGACACGTGGTAATTATAGCATCTCACTGGGCAGGCGTTCGTCCATGCATGCAAGCAGACGTGTGTACGTATGCATACCCGTGTACTTATTGCCTCCTTCTCACCCACTCACTCAACCAACCCCTCCTCTTCCCTTTTTGCAAGAATGCGTCAAAGGGGAGGCAGACCAAGTTTTCGAAAGCACCGAACAGGGGGACAAAGAGGTGGACAAAGAAGAGGGAGAAGAAAAGGCAGAAAAAGAAGCGGCGCCTGAACGGTCAAGCCGAAAGGACGCGAAGCCTAAGATGGAATGGAAAAAAGGAGGGCCAGTGGAAATGTGCCTCTGTCTAGACAACAGGGGAAGCGTGAACAAAATGAGCAGACGACAGATTAACGATCTGATAAACTTCTCCTACTTTTTAATCACCCGGATTATGCGGGCGGAGCACAAATGTGTGGAGGAGCAGGTGAGCCACACGGGCAGCCACGCAAATGGTCACGCAGACGACACACAAACGACACACCCCTGTCATCCCAAATGCTCCACCCACACGCAGGTCGACTACATGATTAGCTGCCAACACGGAGAGGAAAAGGAGGCCATTGACACTTTGAGCAGCAAAATGAAAAGTGAAAATGAGGAACATATCATAAGTGAATTTAAAAACACCTTAACAGAACATCCTTTACTCAACAAGTCCGAAGATTTAACCAAATACATGTGCCTGTTGCAGTGGACAAAAAAAGAAATTAACAAACATCAGCAGAGGATTCTCCAAATGAGTATGTCACAAATGGGGCCACACATTAACAGCGCGTAGTAGCTAAGAAATGTGCTAGCCAATTTTTGCACTTTTTTTTTTTTTTTTTTTTTTTTTTGTGTGTGTGTGCAGGTAAAGTAAAGGTGGAGTGGAACCAAAACTATGCGGTCCTAAAAAGGTCCGTCTACATGTTGCTGGGTTATGATTATTCCATGTTTGGTGCACAGGATGATGTGAAGGGGGCGGATGCCCAGTGGAGGAAACTCATCTTATGTGTGAATACCTTCCTCATTGATAAGCTGACGTCGTTTGACCCGCTGCTATCCTTCGAAGGTTAGGTCGCGAGGCGGAGAAGCGCAGTGCCCGCACCCCCTACAAGCTAGTTTCCGCCAATACAATTTTTTTTTCCCCCTTCCCCCCATCCGAAAGAAAAACGAACCGAGGACCTACTCCAAATGGACGTGCTGTTGGATCAAGTTTCCTCATCAAAAAGGAAAAAGATACCCCCCCAAATGGAAAACATAGCTACATTTGGACTAACCCTCTTAGCTCACTTCAACAAAGTAATAGAAAAAAAAAAAAAAAAAAACAGACGAAACAAGGCGATGTCAACATATGTATCGAATTGCACACCAGATGGGACGCACACACACTTTTTTTTTTTTTTTTTTTTTTGTTCATGTGTACACTTGCACACCTGTCAGGTGACGAGGGATATTTTAAAGGCAATTCTCAAAGTGAAGGAAGAACAAGTTGCCAATGGTTCATGAACGTTGGGGAAGAAAAGCGAAGAGAAATCATCACACTTCCTCGTCGGTACAGAGTAGTTGCTCGCTCTTCATATTCACATTAGTGTTAATATTAGTGTTCATATTTTTTTTTTTACGCAATAATCCACCACGCCATTTTTTAATCCCCCAAATGGTTAGCATTGACGGGATTGCATTTGACACCCCCTTGTGTCTGTTCCTTCACATGTATCAAATTTTAGAAAAAGTTCGCACCCAAGCAAGTAGGGGGCGATCCCCCGTGTAGAAAAAACAAAAGTGAAAAGGGGCGAAAACATCATTTTGGAGTTTCTTCCCCATTTGGAAAAGACGCAAAAAAATTGCCTGAACGGGTCAGGTAAAATTAACAACAGTGAGGAGGGGAGAATTATGTTTGTCTGGGTACATACAGATCGTAATGAGCCCCTTAAATGGAAACATGGCCATAAAAGGCATAAAAAAAAAAATATATAATGTAATGTCATGCAATGTAATGGTGTTTGCTCCTCCGTGTGTTGTACAACGGATTGGGGCGTAAGAGGGGGAATACATCAGGCAAACGGACATGTGTCGCTTCTCATTTGCGCTCAGTTTTGGTTCACGTTCTGCTGCTTCCCGTTGCCGTTCTGGTGGAACTTAAAGAGGGGAATGAACTTCTCATACGTCTTCGGCTTCAGGTTCGCGTAGGGCTTCCCATGGTTGTACAGCCATGTGTCGTAGTCCATGTAAATTTTAACAAGCAGTTGCTCGATGAGCTTCTTCGCTAATACATAGTGATCATACTTTTGGCAGGACACACACAGGTGCAGAGATTCATTGGCTTCCTTTTTCTCCTCCCCTTCCAAGTACCCTGAACCCCTACCTCTTAACCTTAATTTGCAATCCGTGTCGATGCAAATCTTTTTCATGTTGGTTCCCTTAAGCCCGATAATTCGTTTCGCAATGTCAAATCCATTGAAGGGATCTATTTGCATCTCGTACTTTGCTGTGTACTTTTTAATAACCACAAAATTGTCTGAAGGAAGAGACGACTCATTGGGTACGTGGTAATTATTTTTTATATTGTTGAAATTTTTTCCATTAGCAAGACTTAGCTTGTCCCCAAATTTGGTTGCATCCTTGGGAAGCATCTTTTCCTTCTCGTCGTAGTGCAGGGCACCGTTGTCCTTGGGGTGACCCTCTCCATTAGCGCTGCTGCCTCTACTCGATTGGGCGTTGGGGTGACCACCGACATGAACGTTCGTGTGCATGTTTCCATTTGCTGCGCTCGCAATAATTCCATTTGCTCCACTCCCAATAATACCATTTCCGCAGATCCCCCCATCGACGTTGGCCCCCTTATGAGAGGCTCCTGTCTGTTCCTTGCCCTTCCCACCGTCGTATGCAAAGCTGCCATTCTGCACCTTCGAATCGGACTTCATTTTTTCATACGCCTTAATCTTTTCCACTAAGTTGCAACCCCCGTCATCGCTACTCATTTTGTTCTTGTACCCCCCACCGTTATTCTCCATGATGAGGGAACCGTTGCTGAAGTAGCTAGACAAGAGGACGTTATTGAATTTCATCGTTTGGCTGTTTATATTATGTGCCTCTAGCGATGCTCCGTCTGATATACATCGGGAGGCGGGGGTACCCCCCTTGGTGGGGAAGCTGTAATCCATCATGTGCGTGCTGTTCATTAGGGTTGTATTGGCAAAGCTGTTGGTGGGGGGGGAGGTCACTCCGCCCATCACCCCCCCCCTGCCGTTCGCACCCAACAGGCTGCCACCAAAATCCCCCACGGCACCGACATTGCCATTGGTGTACTTCTTTCCCTTCGGGTCGTTACAACTTCGGACGGTCTGATGGTGAGGTGGCGCATGGGGGTGATGAGTGCTCATACTGGGGATTAGAGGCGTACCCATAGTTACCCCCAGGTGGGCTCCCACATGCATGTGTTGACCTTTGCTCTCCCTATCCCTGTCGGCCCCATTTTGGTAGTTGGCGAACTGATGCGAGTTGAACCCGTGACCTCCAACAGCGCTACTGCCGCAGCTCATGGCGTCGGGGGTATAACTCGAGTGGTAATGGTACGGGCTCTGTAACCTCCTGCCGTACACGCCCCTGTCCGGGCCGTTCTGCAAACCATTTTGCGAGCCGTTATGGAAGCCATTATCGAAGCCGCCATCCACGCCGCTACCACCCAACGCACCGTATCCCTTCCCCTGGTTGGAGCCCCCTTTACCAATAAAACTGGCGTGATCAAATGCTTTTTTGTAACTGTTTAGTGTCTTCATCGCCCTGATCATTTGTGTATTATGGTCTGTGTCCTTCTTCCTTGGGATGCCACCCACCCCACCCCCCTTGGGCAAGTTCATCCCCATTGAGCAGTTCTTCTCATCGAGGGGTAAACTTCTGCTGTACTTTTCTGTGGTGTTAATGCAGTTGGTGAGATTATTAAAATGTTCGTTTTCAAATGAAATGTGTTCATTCTGTTGACTGGTCTCCTGCTTAAGGCTATTGTTATCATCATGGTCTTCCCCGTCTGAGGGTAGCATGCCTCCAAAGGGGCTGTTGCACGGGGGCATGGGTCCATTTGCCACATTCGCTATGTTGCGTGTGCCGCAGGGCCCCTGGAACATGGCCCAATCGCGGTGCGACTTTTGAGCGCCCATCTCCTTTCCATCGCCACTAAAAAAAAACTTCATCATTTTATCATCCACGTGGTGTGGAGTTAGCGGCTCGCTGTACTTAAGCATCGCACTTCCCGCCGCCGCTGGTGCAGGTGACGCGGATGACCCCGTTACTGCGGAGCCCCTCGCGTTTGCCATGTAGGCGTTGAAGTTGTGCCCATTCATTGGTGTTCCCATGGAGGGGGTACTCAGCCCATCAGTCATGATGGTACCATTCCCCCCCCCTCGTCGGTTGCTTAGAAACATTCTCCCACGAACAACTCCATGTGGGTTCTTCTCATCTGATTTGTTTCCCTTCATATTATTTCTTTGTCTAATGGATGAAGTGACTGGATCGTAACAGCTAGCCATAGAATACACACCACGTGGTTCTACGTAAAAATCTGCATCAGTAAACATTCCTTTGTTTGCCTTCATGCTATCATCCCGGTTGTTCATTTTTTCTTCATAAAGGTGGTTCGGAAGGTAAGGTGTGAAGTTGTCACTGTAGGGTAGGCAATCCGCCAACGGAGCTGCGTTGTTGTGATCGTGTACCCTGTGCATAGTTCTTTTCTTGTCGCACGAGGAAAAGGGATCGTTTTCCTCTTTTTTCTTCAACGTAGTAGGGTTCAGGAAGGGGGGTTGTTGCGTGCAGTACACGTTATCTCCCTTCGAGCACCTGCCTGTGTTCCTGGTCTTGTCCTTAAACTGGTTTACTCCAACATCACTTCGGATGTCGCTGTAGTCCACACGTGTCGATGCGTCCGTTCTGGCCGCGTACTGGGTCATGGGTCCCGGGACCCAGTTTTCTTCTCCTCGCAGAAAGACGTTTTCTTCGTCCTCGCGATACTCGCGTTTGTCCTCGCGCTGGTTGGTCATGTTAGCCACGTTAGCCATGTTAGTCCCGTTGGTGGAATTGGCTGCGCTGTTCACATTCACCTCCTTCGAGGGCGCGCCTCCCCCTCCGTGAGAGCGACCCATGCCGTCGATTCGCCTTCCATCACTGTACTTCTCAGGGTACTTCTCGGCGTACTTCTCACCGGACACGATGCTGCTAACCTTGGTTTCCACCTGACCCTTATCCCCTTCCATGTCATGTTCTGCCTCCTGAACCCAATTGTAAACACTAGAGTAGGCCATCTGCTCCACCTGCTCGACAGGAATGTCTGCCGCGTCATAGTGCGGATTAACGAGACCCCCAGCATGGGAGGTCAGGACATTATTATCATCATTATGGGTCTGGTCCAACGATTTGAAGACGTGATTTATACATGAATCACATGCAAAGTTTTCTACAGGGTAGTCCCCCTCGTCTTGTTTTTTTATGCTGTTCACCTTATCTGTGTCGAAGGGTGCAATTCCTCCCCCCAGTGTCAGTGCACCGTTGACGCCGTCGCTCTGGGGCTCCACATCAAAGCTGAAGTCAGCACCCAAGTGGGGACCAGCATGATATTCTACGCGAGAGTCCACGTGAGAGTCCGCGCGAGCGTCTGCGTGCGAATTTACGTGATAACCCGTGTGGGTGTTTTCTCCCTGCCGACCGGCGGGGTGTAAATCGATCAGGTAGTTCGCACTCGAGGGGGCGTCTCCTTCCGCTGGCACTTCACCTCCCCCCTCCGTCTGGTAATACAACTCCATGTAATTCTTGTGGTCATTTAGGTAATTATTCTTCAGGAACTTTTTTATGTATGTCATGAAGGAATCATTGTCAGCACTTTCGCCTGCACAGGTGCTATAGCAGTTGGTAGAGAAAACTGGCTCTGCTTTGGAGGAAATGGAGGGTTCCTTGGTTAGACTCTCCAGGTCATTCATGTGCAGGAAGGAGTCATTGAACAGCAAGTTCCTCCACACATCTTCCTGGTCGTCGTCTGGTGCATCACCTAGATAATCACCATCGGCTTTATCATTTGTACTTGTTTCATCAGGGTAGAAAGGAGCCCCAGTATTTTCCACACCGTTTGTAACTTCATCTAGTAGACCCCTAGTGGTGGAACATATATTTGCAAAGTTGAGGTCCTCATTACTAATGTATAAGTTGAAGTCATCATCGATTAGGCTGTGGTCACGTGGATGATGGGTCGCCCCGTCTTCTTCTCCTGCCGCCGCGGACGCTTCCGCTGCCGCTCCCGCTGCTACTCCCACTTCTACCCCTCCCCCTAGCGGCCTTTTCGCACCGTCCTTAAAGATCCCATTTTCCATCATCAGGTTAGCTGCGTCGTTACACTTCACCACCTGGTTGCTTTCGAGGGCATTACAACTTACGTTGGTGGTGCCGCTGTTGCTGTATATTAAGTTACACGAATTATCATTTTCCTTTAGTGCGTTACTATTAAAGTGATCGCCGCGATGTTGAAGAATATCATCTGCGCAGTTCTCACCATCCATCGTGCCATTGGTGGCACCTCCCCCTTCGCGTGCTGCAGAAGGGCCAAGCCCACCCAGCACTTGATCAAAAAAGAAATCCTCTTCCAACTCCCCTTTTGTGAATATTAAATCGTCACCCTCATAGGAGTCATTCTGAGGTGAGTTACCAGCAGGGGGTGCAACCATACTAAACGAGTCTTCCTCATGGGTCTTCACTAAACTACTGAAGTCATGCGAAGATTTTTTCCCCCTTAAATTATTAACACAATTGTACTCATTAAGCTGTACCTTGTCACTGCTAAAGGGTACATGGTTACTGTTTAGCATTTGTTCATCTGTTCTTATAACGGACGTGTGTATATTTCCTTCTGCGAGATGGGTCTCCTCGTCTTGTCCCCCCTGCGTGTACATTTCTCCATCTGCAAACACATTACCACTAGTGCTCTTTTCACCGCCCCGACATGCTTGTCTAGGCATTACACAATTGGCGTCATACCTTTCGGTCCCCTCGAAGTATCTTCCACCAGGATGATCTCCTCCCACGGACCTACTACACGTTGTGTGATTATTAATTGCGACAAGCTCCCTCCCCCCTTGCATGTTCATAAAGTGATAATTTGAAAAGACGTTTGTCCCTTCGTCACACATACCGACTCTGTGTCTTTCGGGTCCCCAATTGGGATCGTATGCACTGAAGGGGAAGCTATTGATGATGTCTTCTGCTTTCCTGTTTGTACTTAAATGGTGGAGGTTCACATATTCGTAGTCGCTCAGGGGGGCACCACTCCTATTGCCTCTCCTTTGTATGTGGTGTTGATTGGAAGTCGATCCGCTGTTTGCGTCATCAGAGAAGAGATGCCCATGCGAGTCGCCGCAGCCACGGGTGCGGTTGTTGTGTTGGTGAAGCCCCCCTTCATGGTCATTGCTCTTCCTGCGGGAAACCACCCGCACGCGCTTATCGCCAGAGGGGAGCTTCTCCTCATCCTGATGAATGGGCAGCGGGTGGTGCTCTGAATGCTCGTCATTTGGCAGGAATCCTCCCCTACTCACCTCCCCTTGTGTGTTAATAATTTCTCCCCCATATAACAATTTCACATTTGCTTCCTTCTGATGTAACTTAGCCAACCCAGTAACATTCTCCTCCACTCGGCTGTTAGGAACTCTGTTATAATATTCTACACAGCCTCGCAGGGATACCGTTCCATTCTCAATGAAGTATTGATCCCCTTCCTCTCCTCCATTAGACTGTCCTGAATGAATGAAACAATTATTCTTCACCTCATTGGGGGGGCCTACTACACCCATCGTGTAATTCGTTCTTCCCCCATGTGCACTCTCTTTCTTCATATCATTTGTTTTGCATTTCTTCCCCTTTATAGTGTTGTGTATGTTGGGGGTACTCCCCCCCCATTCAGCACTGTTACGTTGGTGGTGCAGGGGTACTACATTCCCCTCATATAAAGAGTTGGCGCCTTCACACGAGAAGGTCATTTTATCGCTGTTAATATTGCTACCAGGTAGGCTTGTGTGGAAATTATTTTCTAGACCACTTCCATTCTTCAATGGGTCAGTGGGATAAGGGGGAGAATTCTTTCTGAAATTGAGGTGACCACCTCCCTCGTATACAAAACTGCTCATATGTATGTCCTCCTCCCTTGTCGTTTTATCATTAGAATGATCAGGTGTCATTACTTTCGACTTGGTGTGATGGTTATCCTTTCTATCATTCACATAAGAGAGATTTACTTTTCCATGCTTGGTCACTTCCTCGCCTGAACTGTACAGGTAATTTGACTCGCACGCCCTTACGTAACAGTCCGCTTGGACACTACACATAGGGGTAGAACAATTCTGATATCCCCGCTGGTAACCTTTCACACTTTTGTCTGCCGGGATGGTACCCACATGACAACCATCGTCCCGGTCACTTCCTCCCTCCTCGCCACTTCTCCCTGCACATGTGGCCGAGCTCCCCAAAAAAAAAACCTCCTTCTCACCCATCATGTCACTTGCGTCGATTAGTCCTCCTGGACACCCCCCCGGTATATCTGACTCCATAATTTTGCATTCAGAGAGGTCCAACTTATTTGTCTTCTGTACCTGTTCATTGGACTGCATCTTACCCTGTGGTCTTCCCACTTCATCATTCTCCTTGTTAAAATTTTTTTCACCGTGTACATTGCTTTCGTGAACGGTGTAGAAGCGCCCTTGGTCGGGTCCCTGCAACAGTTGCTTGTTCTCCATCACGCAGCGTCGCAGGGACCCACAACAAGGCAACGTTTACTCCGTCACTTTGGTTGCCAACCCCCTTTAAAGAGAAAATTTCGCACAAGGGGGTAAAGAAATAACAAAGACAGCCACGTGTGATTCCTCGGAGGGGCACACACATGTGTGTAGAGAGGAAGCGGCCAAGTGGTGCTGAGACGGGTGCCGCTCTCCACCCCTCCACATTAAAAAAAAAAAAAAAAATTATAATAATAATAAGAAGTAATAAAAAGTAAAAAAAATAATAAACAGTAATAAACAGTATTAAAGAGTAATAAAGAGTAATAACCAAAGGAATGACAATAAAGAGACGCTTAAAAGAACGCGTGTGCGTGAAGATAAACACACGCGAGTACACAGACAGTGTGCAACACAGCTGCACAGTGGTTAAGCTGATCGCTGGGTGGACCCGCCTTGAGGGAGGGTATAGAAAACAGACGCAGTAGTGTACTTCCCACGAATTGCTCTTCCCCTGGTTCGTTAATTTTAAAATTGTTTTCTCCTTTAATTTGAAATGAATTTTTTTTTTTTTTTTTTTTTTTTTTTTAATTTTGGATAAGCTGCTAGCTGTTTAATTTGAAATAAGGTTTTGTTTCTCTCTTGTATGGAATTATTTTAGCTGCTTCAACTTGGTGTGTGTGTGTATGTCTGCGCCTTCCTCCTCGCAACTGGCCACTCTCTTAATTACTGCTCCTCGGGGGAAGAGGCATTTACATTTTGTTTAAGCCTGTTTGCGTTTCCGGAAATGGCGCTTTAAAATGGACACCCTTTGAAGCTTGTGCTTTTTTTTTTTTTTTAATTACAAAGGAAGATTAGGTCTATTGCCAATTCAGTGCAACAAGGACGTGTGACTCGGTACGCACACTTGTTGCGAGGGAACAAGGCAATGAAGACCTGTTTTTTTTTTCTCTCTCTCTCTCTCACTCCTACACAAAAGGAGGATCGTTAATTACACATATTTTATTTAAAAAAAAAAAAAAAAAAAGTATTTCGAGTCAATGTAGTGTCCACGCGAGAGCATGCACAAGCATGTACAAGTATGTATTCGCGTGTATATTGTTGGTGCAACTGCACAGTTGGTGTTGGTCAAGACTTAATGCAGAAGCAATAAAACAGGTGAGCGGGTAAATCGAATTGGTTTCAATTAAAAATGAGAAAAATGCAAATGCAACATATGCGTGGGTGTATATATTTACACTTTCAAATGTATGTATATACATGTGTGTGTGTGTTTGCGTGTACGTGTGCAGGTGGACAAACTTAAAAGCGACACAAAGGAATGCTTTGAAACAAAACAGACTGCGTCTTCTGTCCCCTGAACACAAGACTGTCGTGTGGATAGGACATGCTTATAAAATTGGCACAGGGGAGACAAGACCGGTCATGGCTACGGCTAGGCCTGTGCCTGCGCGAGTTCCACACTGCACAGACGTTGGCCCTTTTTAAATGACCAAAGGGATTGGAAATGCCACTCAACGTCAAACTGAATTCACGTGCCCATTAACAATCGCACTCTACGCGTGGACAAATGGGTCATTATTCGTGTTCACTCCAGGACAAATAATTCAATCACACAGGACGATAAATTATACGTTTTTTTTTTTTTTTATATATATTTTTTTTTTTTACGTGAAAAAAAGCGTACAATGGCGTGGCGCTAAGCTACTGCAACGACATATGTGAAGCAGCCTTAGCATTTAATTTGTTAAAATGCAAGCTGTCCTGTGCAACATGAAGTAGGGGGGGGAGTTAAAGACAAACCCACGGGTATCATTATCAGGCGCACGCGCGAGAATGGGCGATGCGGTCGGCGAGTACAGGGCGGTGAACATGCGTGTCCATCCGTCTGCACACATGCATACATACATACACACACACACGTGCGTGCACCGGTTAGAAGATTAATTCTTGGGCGCTCACACCGATGGCGGTAACACACGTGTCACTTCGCTTGGCTGCGCCAGGACACTACTGTGCTGCTGCATCATCACCAGCTGGCGCGTTCGCCACTCTAGAAATGCACTTGAATGGATCAACAAAGCAGTAGTATGCAGCTCGCAACTAATTTTGTTACACACAGATTCAAAGAATTATTTGTCATACACAAAAAATGTTTTGTTCAAACATTTCATGGGTTAAGTGCTTGACACACTTTGTAAATTAATTTAAAAAAAAAATTATTCAAAAAAAAAAAAAATCATTTAAAAAAAAAAAAGGAAAAGAAAAAAAAAAGAAGAGGATGAAAAAGCTAATGTGACAACGAAGGGGCAATAAAAAAAAATGGCACCTAAATTAGCAAACATTTAATGAGTATGCTTTGGTTATTTATTTTACACAGAAAATAGAAAGGGGTGAAATTGAAATTTAATTGCATGTTAATGGTTTCCTTTTAAAGAGGGTGAGAAATGAATGCATATAAACTGCAACACAGTTTGGTTGAAAAGAAAAAAAAATTATTACAAGAAAAGCAGGAAAAAAAAAAAAAGAAAAAAAATGCATACACATTTGGCACTTTTATATATGTATGTGTGTTTTCTCTCTTCCCTCGACTCTCTTTCACACCCCTTAAAGGAGTGGACTTGCACAGGAGAAAAAAAAAGTGTCCCCAAAAAATGTGAATACGTGCAAGTATCAAATGAAGGAGAAAATAAAAAGGCACACAGCACAAGTCAGGGGTTCAAAGAAAAATGCGACTTTCTGCAAAGATAAATTCTTCTGTGGATCCCCCACAGTGAAACAGATTTCTTTTTTTTTTTTTTTTTTTTGGCCAGTATGTCTGCCTAATTTACACAAAGGCAGTCATTAAAAATTGACAAATTAAGCCTTCGTAAAATCAACACATTTGAGGGGGGGTGGATTAAAAAGGAAAAGGGCATTTTTCGCCTGAACAAATGTGTATATGTACATGCACAAATGTGTAAAGAAGCACATTTTTACACATGTAACTGGTATGCATTCACTTACACACGTGCAAGGCGCGAGAAATTTGCAAACTCAGCTTTGCCTCTGGGAAGGGGGGAGGTTTTTTTAAAAAAACTCGAATTTTTCCATTTTAAAAAATTGAAAATGGGATGTGGGGAAAAAAAAAAAAAAAAAAAGCCAAAAGGAACGGGGGAGTAAAGAAGTGAAACAGCCAAGTGATACAAACGAGTGACATTACGAACTGATGAGACGAAAGCCAAAGGGGGTGGAGAAACGATGAGCGCAAGAGAGGATACGCTTATCCGCTTGGCAAAAATGCATTCCTGGCCAAGCGTGGCACATATGCATATGTCTATGCGTTCACGTGAGGTAAACTTTTTTTCTAATCATGCACATGCATATGGATGTGCGTGTATATACACGTAGTACTCGCCCCGAGCGACGCGCACTTTGGTAACTAAACGGTTCACATATAAAAAAAAGGGGAAAGAAAAAAAGTATAAAATGTTTTGTACATTTAAAAGTGATGCTCAATGCGGGGGGGGAGGACAAAATGGCAGATGATATATATATATTTTTTTTTAATTATCCTGTCAACTTGGTTTTTCTGTTCATGCGTCGTTCGTATTTCTTGCGAGCGCTTGGCGCATCACGCGGATGTGCATTTGGGCATGGGCAGTTTACATACAATTACATTGCATACATGACACATACGAGAACATCCCATGCGCTCGCGCTGCTACACATAAACACACGCAGTGCTGCGCGTTGGTAGAGATGGCACACCAACAGGTGAAACAGTCGAGTGCGGAGCCAATAAATGCAAAACAGCTATACGTATCCTGTTAACCTGTGGCAGGGGTTGTGTATGTGCACATTTACCACACGTGAACGAGGTGATCGCAAACGAATGCTGCCTACTGGGTTTTCATGTTTCCAAAACAGGGTCATATGATGTGTGCAAAATCAAATTACCTCCGAATCAGCACGATCTGTGTGCATATATTCTGCACATATGTACTTGTGTGTATGTGTTATGCATATATAAACTATATGTACGTACGTACGTATGTGTGTTTTTTTTTTTTTTTTTTTCTTTTCTTCTTCTTTTTTACCTGAACGGCAAGGTGAAAATGTGAAGAAAAAGCCACAACGCGACACGTATGCGAAAACCACAAACGCGCGAATGTCACTACAAGAACAAATGTGCCCCTTGTTCAAATTGCTTCAGACGTCGGAAAGAAACCGTGTTTGGTATGTCTTCGCCTGAGTGAAAACCCAAGCAGGATTGAAATCGGGTTGCCCACAAGGAAAGTAAAACATACATAATGGTGTGAGCATACCTCTGCGCAAAGGTACCGCGCACACTTGCAAACATGCAACTTACACGTGTACTCTTAGATGTTTCATCTGCGGGTGGCAAACGGCACGAATCAACAGGCGCTTTTTCTTGGCTGAACTTTTGTAACACCTCTTTTGCACGCGCCGTTGAGGAAAAGCCCCGCCCTCCAAAAAAGTGCAAACGAGTTGCAAATCGGTGAAAGGTGAGAGGTAGCAAAAGGAAGTCGCCACATAGGTGTCCTCACGTGTGTTCGTGTGACGCGTGCCCTGTTCATGTGTGATGCCTAAAATGCACCACATAACACATCCCTTTTCTTTTTTTCTTGCCTCATGAGAGAGTGACGGGTGCTTTTAAATTCAAAAAGGGCAGGAAGTGTACACACTTTAGTTTCGTGCATGTGCAACGGGAAAACGCTTCACCACAAAGGGATGCACGAAACGAGCTGAACACACCACCACCCATGTGGTGCCTGGCTAAATAAACTCACACCTGCGTGTGCACTTATGATGTCGCATAAAGCCCTCAGTGAACTGGGCCATTTTTGTGCAAAAGGGGAGGCAAAGAATGAAGGATACACTGTAAAAAAAAAAAATCCCTCAACGGGGGGATATCACTTCTTATCCCACAATTATCATTTGAAGTATCATGTTTAAAAAGGGGGAAAACAAAACAACAGTAGCATCTTCTCCTCATCATGTTGCACCCGCACGGGAAGTGAAAAAAATTCCTCCCATTTCTTCCTTTTTTGCGGCATGTGTCAACCTCGTGTAGGAATTTTTACAAATGGTGAGCATACACATGTGCATAAGTGGAACCAACATTTCTGTAACACCGACACAGGGGGGGAGCACTTTTTTTTGTTCATGAAGCGAAAAGGTCTGCCGTGCATTTATAGGGATAGCTGGCGACGGCCACGATGATACCTCCTTTTTGTCCTCCCAGGGAGGGTTCCAAAGTTGTTACACACCCTCCAGTCGTGTTACGTAAAAGGGGCATGGGTATTATTTTTTTTTTTTTTTCATTTGAGCGGGCAAAAGCAGCGTATTGCATTTGTGTAGGCGCATACATAGGGTTTGCACGTATGCGCAAAGGTTCCCCCCCTTCGGCCAAACGTATATAAGAGAAAAAAAAGCACACAGAGGAGCACATGCACAGCCAATGGTGTGAAACATTAATGATGGCCAATCCTCATGTAGACACACGTACACCAAGTTGTGTCACCTGTGCAACATCTCCCCCCCCCCCCCCCCGCTACACACTACCCCAACAATGTTTAAACGACTTAAGCTGTGTTAAACATAGCAGTTGTTTCATTTTGAACAATGGAAGATACGTCATTTGTGAATAAGCAAGATCGTATTGAGTGATGAACCATTTGCATTACACAGGTGTTTTGTTTCCCTTTTGCAAAAAGTGGTTGGTCCTTTCTTGGTCATTTTATCGTACGTGTTGGGGGAGCAATTTCGATATGCCTGGACAGGGCGCGTTCGCACAAAATTTTGAACAACTTGGGCCGCGAAAAAAAATAGGACCAAACCGGGAATTTTAACACATAATGGTAGGTGAGAGTTGCGTGTCCCCCACAGACACATATCGAACAAGGACGTATAGGACATTTCGTGTTAATGTAAATTTATAACTGACTGAATGCCAAAAGGGGGTAATCGGTTAGCCATGCAGAGTGCGTTAGGGCATACGCATGTATACACGTATGACACAAATCAAAATGGACTACTATACCTACACGCGGGGGGAAAGTTCCATCGTATGCCTTCCCTTTTTTTTTTTTTTTTTTTTTTCTCCCACTTTGCAGTGTTGTGTTAAGCCCCGTTGCAGCGTTTGTAAAAATTGCGGTGAAGATTATGGCACTCCTTCGGGCAGCTATCTATCCTAAAGATGGAATTTGTAAAAGGAATTTTTGTTTTTGTCCCACGGAGTGGACGTTCTCCACCGTTTTTCGGGGTCTCCCCCTCTACCTTGAAAAAAAAGCGGCCTTCCCGCCTGCGATAAAAAAAAAAAAAAAAAAAAAAAAAAAAAAGCCCCATAATATGTCGTTTTAAAGGTGGCACTTTTTTTTTTTTCACAAAAACGAATAAACTCTCAAGGCGGAGCAAACTGGGAAGAATCTGAACTCTTCCTAACCATGTAATACCGAGCTTGTCATTTTTTTCCTCGAAAAAAAGGCTAGCAAAAAAGGGCTGCAAAAACACAGCTTGCTCGCCGGAGACGCTTTCTAAAAACAAGAGGGTTGTTTTTATACGTACCACCAAAAAGTGAACATCATCCATGCAGCAGGAGGACAATAGCCGCATGCGCTTCACAACATGATTTGAGCAGATCCCCTTGTGAAAGCGAAGAAAGCGAGAAATGATACAAAGTGAATAATGATAGAGAGCAACGAAGGCAGAGAAGAAGAGGGGGAAATAAACGAGGCGCATTCATCGGATGCCGAATCGAGCGACTCTAGTTTTGGCCCCGCCCCGCTGGAGGCCTCCAGTCCGCATGGAGGGGCATCGCAGGATGGAGACGGTGATGGAGAGGGTGATGGAGAGGGTGATGGAGAGGGTGATGAAGCAGGAGACGTAAGCGCCGATGCAGACGCTGACAGGGAGGCGCTGCCGGGCCCCCGCGCCCCAGGCAAGCGACAAGGCAAGCCGACAACCAGGGGCACAAAGAAAAAACGAATAAACAACGACATATATTTGAAGAACCTCCCAACGAACAAGAACTACCAAGTGAGCTACATGCATACCGATGTTGTGACGCACGTCCTTGTGAGTAACAAAAAAAAGTACATAGTGACGGGAAGCGCAAATGGAGTGGTAAAGTTTTGGTACAAAAATGTGGGGTCCATCGAATTTGTGAAACATTTTAAAATTCATTTGAATGAAATTATTTGTTTATTCCTTTCGGAAGATGAGGAAGTCATGGGCAGTTTATCTAAAGACAAGACATACAAGCAATTTGACGTAAGTAGCTTTGACATGAACATTATAATAAAATTAGACTTTTGTCCTCAGACGGGAGAATTTGTGTACTCTTCTCTCTTTTCCCCATCTGTTAAGGTAGCCATTTCGTCGAGTGAAAAGGCATGTATATATATTTACAAGCCATTGGAGAGTGACGTTTGCACACAGGTAATCAACTTTAGCTCAAATGTTATTGAAATTATTAAGTACAATAAGGAGTATGACCTGTGTGTGCTATGTGATAATAGTGGCCTCATCGACATTGTGGACGTGGAGACTTTTCACTTCCCCAAGGGGGGTGGCGGGGCCCATCATCACCAAAGGGGTAGATACAGTCAAGATAGCCACAGCGAAGATGAGGGCACACCCATGTATGCGAAAAGGAATCATCTGAGGAAGAAGCAAATAACCTTTTCCTTCAAAAGTGAAACAGATTTATACGAACTGTGCAAGTATAAAACATATGCACTATGTGTGAACATAAGCCCTGATGGAGAGTTCATGGCCATCCTATCGGAAAATTATTTTTTGCTCATTTATAAATTTGGGACCATGAAATTATACAGAGTATATGATGAAAGTACAGAGATGTATTTGACTGCCCAGAATGACCCCTTAAAAAAGGAGCTCCATATTGATAGCCTAGATTTTGGGAAAAGGCTCTTCATTGAAAAAGAAATAAAAAAACACATAAAAAGTAAGAATATAAAATTTAATATGATTACATTTGATGAGTCCAATCAGTATATTATTTATTCTACCTTCATTGGAATTAAGGTCGTTAATTTTGTTACTAACCAGTTGTGCTATATAATTGGAAAAAACGAAATGAATCTGAGGTACCTGTCCCTTGCCCTTTATCAAAAAATTATTGCAGCCAATAAAACCAGAGAAAATATTCATGAGTCACTCTATGTCAATGACGAGAATATCTCCGATTGTGCTCTCTTTTGTACTGTGTACAAGAAAGCGCGTTTCTATGTGTTCACGAAAAAGGTTATATCTGAACAGGAACTGGATGACAGAGATATATACAATGAACAGCCAACCAAAAATGATCTCAACTCCTTTTTTTCTTCACCTATAAAAAAGGTAGAAGATAATAACAGAACGTATAAAAGTGCAATCATTTATACAAGCCTTGGGGAAATACACATTGCTCTTTTTTACAAAGAATGCAAAAAAACAGTGGAGAATTTTTCTGTGCACTCGACAAATGGCTACTACAATAATTGCATATTCCATCGCGTTATCAAAAATTTTATGATTCAAACTGGAGACCCCTTGGGAGATGGCACTGGTGGGGAAAGTATTTGGGGTAAGGAATTTGAAGACGAATTTTTTGACCATCTGAATCACTCTAAACCATTTATGGTGTCCATGGCCAACTGTGGACCCAATACAAATGGCTCCCAGTTTTTTATTACCACTGTCCCGTGCCCTTGGCTCGACTTCAAACACACCGTCTTTGGAAAAGTCACCCAGGGCACCAAGGTCGTATTAGACATAGAGAAAGTGCGCACGGACAAAAGGGACAAGCCTCTCGATGATATCAAAATTTTGAACATCAAAATGTGCCATTAGTGTGTTTTCAGATGTGGCCTTCCCTCCGTCTCCACTCCACTGCACTTCACTTCACTGTTTTTTTTTTTTTGTTATCCTCCTTCATTTTGTTTAACCACAAGAGAAGATGTAAACCCACCCCCTCCATTTTCAACCTTGTGATGATTCAGCGAGGCTGATTGTCCTTCGTGGCACTAATAACAACCACCACCACTACCGACTTTTTAATCCTACCCTCCTATGCAACACTATGTTATGCTATGCTATGTCACACGTGGATGGGATACCCCTCGCCGACCACTCAAGTTTAAATTAAAAAAACAAATTCATTAAAAATTAAAGTATAACACTTTTCCTTTTTTTTCCTCCTTATTCAAAAAAAAAAAAAAAAAAAAAAAAAATACTTCAACTGAGTGAACGATTATCCCCTTCCTACCTCTTATAAAAATACGGAGGATGTACCACCTTATTATCCACTGCTATATAATTTCCCACCCTCGTGGGAACATCAAATGGTGAGTGGGTGTGCGGGTGAGCTGGTAGTATCATAGGGCTGGCCACTTTAGGAAGGACGACAGAATTGAGTAGTCGCGGAGTGCTAGCACTACCCACAAATCGGTGCTTCAAAGTTTTTATCAGGTTATCTCTTTGCTCTTTGAAGATCCGAACTCGGTTCGTAATATCGTTAAAGGTCTGTTGTAGTCTGACCTTATGTCCAGGTAGCCATCTAGTGTTGTTAAATTTTTCAATATCATCAAGGGCGTTTGTGGACAATGTACATAACGTCTCAACAGTGTCGAACCCTGCATTCACAAAATGGACCGATATTTCAACTGGTAATTTTTGCTGCTTGAAAAATTCCACCACGAGTATTCGTTCTTGTTCCAAATCGGGATCTATAAAAAAAAAAGGGAACGAAAAAAAATGAATTAACTTGTGCAAAATTTTTTTTATTTTCCCCCTTTTTTGTGGGACGCATATGATCTCCAGTTGGGCCACTGTTTTATCATCCATTAAGGCTTCTTAAAAGGAGGCCGCCATTTTTTTTGACAAACCTCCGTTCCATATGGCCTCAAATCCGTGCAAGTGCTCCGGGTAGTGCTTGCACAAAAAGTCCACAATGAAGTGTATCACGTTGCTCGGCTTTCGTTCATCAATTTCCTGTAATATAATGAAGAGATGTGTGCTTATTCGAATTTTACGCCAAAAATGGGGTTGCACTTGTTATTACACGTATTTTTGTGCACGTGGTAAGGCTTGTCTGATGGTACCCGTGACCATGCCCCTCTTTACCTGCGCTATTCGCGCCAACAACTGGTGGACATTCGAGTTCCTGCTATAAAGACTCTTTTTATTCGATTTCGTGGAGCTGCAGTTGCTTCCTGCGATTGATATTAAGTCGTCTTCCACTTTTGACTTCTTATCGGAGTTATGCTCCGCATGGGAAAGCGCCTCGCTGAAATCTTTGGACATTTTGCCAAGCCTTCACGTGTGTGTGTGTGCAGGCAGGCAGGCATGGGGAGTTTCTTCCAATTGGGCGTTTTGGCTTGAGCGAAGTGGGGTAGGGTGTGTAGCAGTAACATTCACAGAGGCAGCATATAACAGAGGCAATATATATTTTTTTTTTTTTTTCCTTTCAGCAGAATTTAAACTGGCCAAGTGTTATAACCTTGCAATTTTTTCATTTACCACGTTTTCTTTTTTTTTTTTAACAAACGCGATAAGGCAACCCTTCACGCACATCAAAAATGGACAAACGGTGGGAAAGGCATAAGGGGAAAGGAAAAAATCAAAAGGAAGTATGGTCTAACAAGTTGGACTTACTTCCTTGCCCATCCAGTACGTTTATTATGCCTACCCTTTCAAACGCATAGCGTAAAAAAAAAAAAAAAAAAAAAATATTCCCCGTGAAGTATCTCACCCATTCTTTCTTTATACGCAGGAGGTAACCTTGTAAATGTAAACAAAAAAAAAAAAATGATAGAAATGTTCCTTTTACGATGTTGTTTTTAAGGGGTAAGCAATATTTGCAAAAATACTCAAAATGCTTTATATGTATACCAATTTTGTAAAGCCACAAAAATTACACATGTGTTTGTGTAAGACCCATGGAAGAAACACCACGTCGAACGGCTTTGCAGTTCACAGACAGCTTACGCTTTTCAAATAACGTCCTACCATTTTGGAATATAAAAATTATTTTATTAACGGTTCAGGTAAATTCTCACTTCGTGTGCGCAAAAGGGTGGCACATTTCGCGTTGTTACCTGAACTGTTAATAAAAAAAAAAAAAAAAAAAAAAAAGCCAAAACGGACACTCAACTGGTTAGTGCTAGCTGGCCACATACAAATGGCGAAGGAGATCTCGTTTGCAGAAGAGACCGCTACATAATGTGGCATGTCCAGGATAACCACCTCGAATGGGTAATAATGTCTCAGCGGTTACTGACGGGGTTGTTCTTTTCCGCGTTTGGAACAAATTCACCGCAGTAAACAAAAAAAAAAAAAAACGATAAACAGGCACATTAGAGTGAGGCCATGAATTTTTCTTTTTTTCCACCCATTTTTGGCTTAAATAAACAAATGCGCTATGAATTACGCAGAGGGATGGTTCTCTTTCTTAAGGGATGTGCAAAAAAGGAATGAGCGATCGCAGAAATCTTTTTAGAGGCGCAAAATTCTAAAACCGTTCCTTTTCCGCTGGCAAAACACACACCACGTTAAGGAGCACGGATTGGTCTAATAGGAAGGGAGAAGCGAATTTCCTCGCGCAGCATGCTGTACCAAGACCCCAAAGCGGATTCTTAACCTCACGCAACTTTACATGTTTCAACAGTGAAACTACTTCCACATTTTAATGTAACGCAATATGGACGAATTTTTCTATGTGTACTACTACTTAGGCGGGATGACCTTGGGTTTCTTAAAAGCAGAAAAACGACCTGTTGTGTATTTCACCCTTTTTTCTAAAAAATCAATTGTACAAAAGTAGTTAAGCTTTTTTTTTTTTTTTTTATACCCAATTTGGACTTCCCCCTTTGAGCACACTAACAAAATGTCCCTCCCCTAACGTGTTGTAAGCAAAGGTATGACCCCATTGCATCGCCACCCCGTAGAAGCATATTTTACATTTAACACTATGTGTTCTAGCAAAAGAACCGAACGACCTGCTGCTTGCGTGTTAAAGGGGAAAAAAAAAATAAAAATAATGTGTATGGGCGAAATGTTTAAGCGGTGAAAAATAAAAATATCACCAAGTGGCTTTTACGCATAGACCCTAGGAGGCGAAAATTCTCTCCATTTTCTAACTTTATATTATGAGGGACTTTTTTCCCTACGGCACAAAGTTCTCAAAAAAAAAAAATTTCCAACACAGGTGTACTGCTATGTACAACTTAAACGCTCAACTCTTTTATAAGTTCTCTTAAAAAGGTTTGCCTCAAAAAAAAAAAGGGGGGGCGAAAAATAAAAAAGGCACATAAAATAAAAGAGCATTACTTTCCCCTAACCGTGCCCCCAAAAGAAAGCATGTACATTGGAGTGCTATCAAAGAAAACTGACGAGAAGTTTGACCTGAAAAATGACTCCAAATTCGGTGGCGCCCCCGTGTGGTTATATGGGAAAAAACCAACGAACTTTAGTTTGGAGTGTCCAACGTGCAAAAATGACTTGACGTTTTTATTCCAATTATCAACATCGTATAATGAGTACGTAAGAGTACTATACTTGTTTTGCTGCCTGAACAGTGGGAAGTGCAATGTGAATAAGAATAGTTGGGTGTGCATTAAGGGGAAAAAAAAGCTATTTCAAAATGTGGGTGGTGATCAAGTAGGCTCAGAGTTAGGGATAGACGGCTGTGTTAAAGGGGAAATGTGTCACAATGGAAGAGCAAATCCAAATGATCCCCAAAAAGGAGTCTTCTCCAATTGTAGCAGAACAAATAGGAGACAACCCATTTTTGATTTCTCAAACGAAAATATAAAAAAAGAAGATTGTGTCACACAAGATGTAAGTTTTATGGAGGAAAAATTAATCGACTGGAAATCCTTATTTTCGAATAGTGCTACGGAACAGAAAAGGAACAACTCATTTTTTGGTAATGCCATTAGTGCATCCTTCATTGGTGTAAATGAAAAGCCAAGACATCACGATTCACCTGTGGTAGGTAATAATTTCCAAGCAAGTGAACCTAACGAGGGAGACGAACTTCTTCTTGGGATGCCCCAAACGAGCCAGGAAGATGAAAAATTGATGCAAGAAGAAGAGGAAGAAGAAGGCACCAGGTATAAATTACCCACTTTTTACATTTCCCTGATTGAAGACGATGGAGTTGATTGTGGACAAGCAGACTACCTCTATGAAAAGGCCAAAAAAATGCATGAAACGTATGAACAACGAAATAAGGAAAATACGGAAGAGGACGCAGATTTTGCGATAGGGAATGATCACGATCTGGATGACATTGGTGATATCGAATTCTTCGAAAATGATTTTAACGGATGTGTAAAATTTTATTCATACTTGAGTAAAAACTACAATCAAATATTAAGGTATTCTTATAATGGGAAGTTTTTATACATGTATAAATCCACAAAGAAATACATCAAGGAACACACCATGACATGTGCACACTGTGGGAGCAAGCTACTCTTCGAGATGCAATTTTTTTCCACTTTTGTGTATCATATAGAGAGAAAACTAGAAGAAGAAATGGCTAACCTTCCGAACAATTCGTTAAACAATTTCAACGTGGGCAATGTCATGATATTCACATGTGAACAGGACTGCGTTACGGTGAACGATATGTATTCATATGAGTGTGTTGAGTTGGAAGTGTTTTAGCGGTAGGGGTACATGCATCACTGCAGAGTTGGAGGGGAGTTTGGGCTGCGTTAACTCCTTCCCCCTTTGGTTTTTTTTTTTTTTTTTTTTTTTTTGTCATGTTTAAAAGCATTCCTTTGAAGGGAATTATTAACACACACTCGTGTGTGGGTTGGAAAATTTTTCCATTTGCACAGGTGTGGCGAGCGTGTGCTTCATGGACACT